CAAAACTGAAAATAAGAACTCTTTAATTATAAAAGTAAAAAGTTTTACTTATAAATTATAATTACATACTTATTTATAAGCATGGAAAAACTTCTACAAATACTTGCTCGTGGTACGGGTCATAAGCGTCTTGACGATGATCTTTTTAAAGCAGTTGATTCCTCATTCAACATTTACAGACGAGAAGGAATTTTTGAAATCGAAGAATTGCCCAAAGAGACAGAAAAAACTGATAATTTCCGATGCAATGTAAATGGTTGCATGTTGAGTTTTTCATCTATGGCTGCATATGATTTACATTACAATTCAAATCATCGTTATACCTGTCTTTACTGTCGTAAATTATTGCAATCAGCTCATCTATTGGATTTACATTTGAGTGAAAAGCATGATAATTATTTTTTAGCCTCTTCTGCCAAAAAACCGATGTTCAAATGTCTCATTGAAACATGCCAAGTAAAATTTTGGAATTCAGATGAACGCAATAATCATTGTAAAGAAATTCATAAAATATCAAAGAGTTTTTTATTACATTTTGGAAATAAGTATGTGTTTAAAATTTATTCTTGTTAAAAGTATAAACATTTTATTATTCTGTTTTAGAAAAAATAAAAAACAAAGCAAGCCCAAAAAAGCTGTATCATCAATAGGTTTAGAAACTGTATCTGATTTGAGTATGGACAGTATGGTTATAGATTAATAATACTAATAGACTGACTGAATAATTACTCTAATTTATTTATACACCATAATTTATATTTTATTTATTATACAATATTTGTAAAAACATAATTTTAACTCCTTATTCTTAAGTGATAATTATTAATGTAAATGTAAGCAGTATTGAATATATTCTAAATTATCAACTTTATATTTTAACATGATTATTTTTGTTAATTTATGATAATTTAATAAATAATATTCCTCTCATATAATCCTATTACCTTTACTTAATGTTTCAAGAATGGAATTGGCAATATAATAAAACATCAGAGTAGAGCAGTACACAATTATCTATATAATTTTTAAAAAGAAAGGATCAAGGTTCATGTATGTCTACTGTTGATTGAATATCATTCAATAATCCCTATATATAACCTATTAGAATAACAAAGTTTTACCTAAGAAATTACACTCCCTAACCCAAAAATTTATCTTTAATTTTTTTCTTAAAAAATACCAATTTGTATATTAAATTTAAGCATCTGAGTAGGTGAATACCTGAATATAAAACACTCCAACAGAAGAAGTTGCAAGGAATGAGGTGGTCATGAAATTATACCATTTTAAGATCAGACCAGACATCTGAGAAAATTTGAATGCAACAGATTGACTGAAATTGTTGTTGTATGTGCAGTGACACTTATTGGAAACAGATGTTTTTAGTGTCTTATTTTATTTTTTCTACGTATGAGATGAATAAAATCTTGGAGCAAAGCAGTGTTATGTTCAGAATTCATCTCATTGTCTGGCCTCTTTTGTTTTAAAGAAAATAAGGCTCAATTATTTCAACTTTTGACAATGTACATTCAATTGTTACTTTATCATTATAAAAAAGGTCTTGATGCAAATCTCTTGGATTACCATTTGCCCGATATCTACAATTTTGTTTGTTGACATAGCCGTTTAAGTAGAAATGAGCCTCGTCCTTAGTCATGAACAGTGTTAATTGATCTTGTAAAATGTTTAACATGAGTACACATGTTCACATTGAAGATAGTGACGTACAAAGATCTTTTAGACAAGCATAATCTTGTAAGGATAACTATATTTCCTGTTATATACTACACAATGCGATATTTGGTAAGTTGTATGGTAAGCTCTCCCAAAGTTATGCTTATCCTCAATGTGATCGTTTTTTCTTCACCACTCTATACATAAGCATTATAAACTTTGCTTATGATAATGGTTGAAGAGTATATTATTTTCTGTCACACGGGATATACAAAAAAAAAATAGTACAAGTAATTTTCCTATATCAGCGTGTATTTATAAGGAAAAATATTGACGAACACTAGTTGTATAACCCAGGTTTAATAATACATACATCTTCAAGTATATATATATATTAAGTAGTGTATTTTATTTTTATAGGCTGGATGAGCTCCATTAAAAACGTTCTTGGGTGATGGCTATATTATAATTGACTCTTAGTAGGCTAATGTTAACTGAGGGTTTTATTATAGCAGTAGTGCAGAATAATTATTACTATTATATTTATACATTTTTTTTTTATAATTATTTTATAATTGTATAATATTATTAGATTTTAAGATTATGAAATAATATGAAATTCTACCATAAACATAAATTAAATTTAACATATAAATATGAAAGAATTTCAGATTTTTAGTTATAACATATGATTTCATAATCTTAAGATCTAATAATATTATAAGACAATAAAAAATAAATATTTAACTTAATTTATTTAAAATAAATAAATTGTAATTAGTTGATTAAATAAAAATGGGAAAGACTTGCATAAGATATATAATACATTTTATTAATACAAATTACTAAACAATTAATATTCAAATCAGGACTACAAAAACACATTAAAAAATCATCATCACCTGACATTTAGTTATTTTGAATGAATAAAATATGTATAATAAGTATGATTTTTCACACGGTATTGTCTTGTTATTAAATTTTTATTCTCTTATACCTAATAAAAAAAAATGAAAAAAAGATTCAAGACTGTGTGAATTTATACAAATATTTATTTTAACCAAACAATAAACTAAGATAGATAGGTTTAAAATATAATTAACGCCGAGGAAAATATTAATTGGGTAAAATTGTTGTTCCACCACCTAAGTTACCACCAGCACTACCAGGGCCAAGAAGTAGCTAAAACAAAATATAAATATGGTTACTATGATACAGGCCCAAGTCTTTATTACAAAATAATTAATAATTACTTGTTTTGAATGATTTTTCTGTGCTTCTTCCATTTGTATGCGTTCAGTTTCAAATAGAACAGGCATAAGTAACAATGCTGCTGTTGTTGATAAATACCATGTTGAAGTACAGGCAAACGAATAAGTTTCTGAAAATATTTTCTGGTGAATTGACAATTTATAATGAATGAGAAGGAATTATAATATCTTACCTACGATAGCATTACCAGTGGTATTAATCAGCTTACTAACACTATTTCGTACAGATTCGGGAAACATTTCAGTTAGTGCCCACAGGCGTTCACCTAATGTTTCATCCTAGACAGATAATAAATATGAATAAAAAAAATTTGTGCTCAATAATGTTTAATTATTCAAAACAAACTTCTTCGTCGTCATCAAAGTTTTCAGAAACAGGGGTGATATCCTTATTACTGTTAGTCATGGACTCCATACCACTGTCTGTACTCCAAAGTTGAACCTTGTCTTGATCCGATAATTCCAAATCCTCTGTGGTGGTCATTAGACAAATATGAGCAGTATTGAACTTAAAAGGAGGAGCAAATTGGAAGTAAAAAAATTGAAAGATGGGAATTGAATGAGCGTACACACTGACACATGTACTATAGAAAAGAAGCACACAGCGACAGCGGACACCGCCAAAGTATGATAACTCTATCAAATAATCAATGGTCTCTTATCAGCTGTTTTTAACCAGTGTAACATTTTATTTTCTTTGAAAAATTCTATACCTCATGAAATTTACCTGCGTTATTTCGAATAAATTGTATTCTTTTGGATATTTAATTAATTCATACAGCAAATTTTGAAGAAATTTGATGTTAAAAAATTTAGTAAATCATAGTTCAACAGTTAAACTTATACTTTTCTTTCTAACCTGATTACGAAATTATAAGGGATCTACCTAGTTTATGTATTAACATAGTGTTGTGCATTATCTAAATCAGCGGTTTCCAAACCTATTTTTCCGCGGTGCCTTTTTTGGACTCAATTAAGCCACGGTGCCCTGCTGTGAATAACATAAAAAGACAAAAAAAATACTCATTGACAATTAATTTTATTAATTTTATTAAAATTTAACTTAATTATAAATTAATGAATTTTTAAACCTAAAATTAAATAAATAAAATTATTGTTATCATTATTATAATTATTACATAAAAATATTAAAAGATTAAAATGAGAATGTCCGAATATACAATAGAAATTATTTCATTATTTGCTATTAAGTTTTTACGAAAACAATAAGGAAAAGAAAATCTAAGCATTTTAAACTATTTGTTATGAACCGTAGACCACGGTGCCCTTAGAAAGTGTGCACAGTTTGGGAACCGCTGATCTAGATGATTTATCTAGATAAAAACATTAATCTTTTTATCTTATCTAGATAATAATAATTTGAATTATCTTTTTATCCATCTTTTAAAATAAAATGGTTACCTAAGATAAATTATCTAGATAATTTTGAAAAAGATAATTTTTTTTCGTGGGAAGTGAAACGAGGAATAATAAACACTTCGTATTACCGTATGTACGTTTTAAATTTTAAATATATATATTCTATAAACGAAGAAAAGGTATTGTATAACTATTTATACAGAAAAAAAAGAATAAACGTATTTCAAATAATACCATTAAATTTTATAACGATTAACTTTTTTTTCTGTATAATCGATGACTGGGCGATACCCGCTGCCCAATGCTTACGCCCGGAATTTAATACACATATAGATAATAGATAATATTGTACTCATATAATAATAATATAGACAATAATTGTGTTAACATATGGACATAAAACGTTAATCTTTGGCTGGAACATTCCATAAATAATAATGTATAAACTTAGATTAAAGTAATAAATAATAATTAAGCCAACCAGTAACCACTGAATAGTGGCCACGGCTATATAGTATTAGTGTATGTAGATCTTAAATCGTGTTAGTGAATAATGAGAATAGTAACAAGGTAATAGTAATCATTTATTAGTTATTAGTAAATACGTACGGTTAAATAAAATAAATATACCGATTTATATGGAATATTTTTAAAATTATGATATATTTAATTAAACTTGAGTTTCATATATATAACTTCCTTCATCTGCACATGTCGAGTGCTTGTTTAGCAACGGAAGTCAAATATTAACACCAAGTAGGAACCGTTTAGGTGTTAAGATATTTGAAATGTTGTTGTGTTATGTCCAATAAAATTAATTTGTAAAATATTTTATTATTTATATATATTATATATTTATTTGCATTTAACTGCGTGTAAATCGAAGACAAAGTAATGAGTCATCATTGATGACCATTGAATTAAATTTGAATATTACAAGATAACAAAGTAGAGTTACATACACATATAGAAAGTATTATGTAGATTTTTAACCCATAAATACCTAGGTATATGTTTAAATCATAAAACGAATTACATTTTTAACTATTTATTATTTAAATTATAATTAATTAATTTGATCTATAGACTGATTAATAACATAAAATAAAAAGAAATAAAAATAGTTATGTATTTATGTATATTATGTATTTTTTAATGCTGAATACGATGGTGCAAACAAAAATTGGCGCTGATAAATAGTTTTATAGTTATAGTCATTTAAAGTATTGTTTAAATAGACCATGTTGATTAATAATTCAAATCTTTACTGTGCAGCAATGGAAAACATGATTCTTACATGTATTATGGCACTGTGTTCTAATCACTAGAATGATGTAAAAGTTTTCACAATTTTTTTTTTTTATGTTCAAATCTGTTTGATAATATAATATTACGTTTATTATTATTTTTATTGCATTTTACTTTTTATTCTGTGACGTGACCTACTTGGGGTGGTATTGCATAGCAAATCGGGGAATATTTTCGTTTTTAACTGTCCGAGCGAGCGAGTGATCCCGCCCGGTCTCGAGATGCACTTAGAATTCATTTGTTTTTACCCTGTGATTTACTTGAGGTGATGTTACTTTAATATAAAATTTTAAGGTTTTTTGGCTTTAAAATTATCGTTCTCAAAAAAAAAAGTGCAAAATTCGATTATTTTGATTTTCAAGTAACAATAAGCTGAATGTAGATTAAATTTCGCCAAAAACAAATTATTCATAAATTTAAATTTCAAAATGCTATAATTTCGCCAATTTTGTAGTTATATAAAAAAATTTTTACACAAAAATTGTTTAAAAAAAATACTCTACCTGAATATGTATAAAAAAAATATGGCGTTACCATGTAAAAAAAACTAAGTAGTATTGCGCATGTGCGTACTGACAGGGTCAAAAATTTGAAATTTGTCTGAAATTGTATATTTTAGTACTCCCTTTCATTTCCCGAAAATCCCATTTAATACAAGGTCAACCTACTGAAATATTTAGTGATACCTCTTAGCGTGAACACACTTATTAAATTCGTATATTTAAATATAGAATTACTTTTTTTGTTTGGTAAGACTTATTTTGAGTTATGACTTGACATTTAGGTAAAAATATAGTAGGGGAAAATGAAATAAAACACATTTGTTAAAAAAAATGTCTCTGAAGAAATCAAAATAGAAAAATGTCTCAAGAGACATAAAAAATAATTTCATGAGTGAAGAATTTTGATCAGTTCTTTAATGCACTAGATTTATAATATATCTATAGTAGTTGGTTTGTTATCATACTGTAAGTAGCTATTGTATATAACACCAGACTTTAATTATATTTTGTTCTACTTCAATAACTTGAATACCACATATTTTACCAATAATCTATATTATAATTAATTGTATTTTTTATTTAATGCTATTATGCAATTATAACAATAGCAGCTATTCTAAAATTGTTAAATTATAATTGTTTAAATTATAATTCATTTTTTATTCAGTCGGCTGTTGGGTATACTAAAGTGAATGAGTCAATATAATACAATCAATAAATTAACCAATGAATATGCTTTTCAAGTTATGTTTTAGATATGGCATTATTAAAAATTAAAATTATTTTATGAATAATATATAAACACTAGATATTCAATAAGTTTTTCAATTAAAAAAAAAAAATTAAATTTACCGATTGTACTATTACATAAAATATTACGCTGAATAATAATTATAATAAATTAATGCCTTCACAGATTTCAAATTGCATTTCTAAAATAGTTTTTATTAGTGATTTCAAATTGAGAACAAGAATCATGATTAAACATTTTAATAACATTTTATTTATTTTCAATTTTGTATTAATTTTTAAAATATCAATAACAAGCCAAACTAAATGTTTATTATATAAAAATAAAAAACATGAATACATTTTTCAATAAGTTATTGGATGTACCATTTAATTATATAAAATATATTTAAAATAAAATTACAATTGTATTTTTAATGAAATAATTAATGATCAAGAATTGTAGACTCTAAAATTTAGGCTTTTTAAATTGAAACATATTTTCTTTCAAATATGTTTTTTAAGAGTATTTTATACAATTATATTTATAATAATATACTTGTGTATTATTATTGTTCTAACATAAATATAAATTTTATTTTTCTAAAAATTTTATTGTTATTAAAATCAGATTTCTGTGAAATAAAATATTAGATACATTATTTATAAAGTTAAAACATCAAAATACTTTTAAAGATTTTTGTAAATAGATTTTGTGTTTAATCATGTTTTATAAATATATTGTAAATAACATTACAAAAAATGTCAGCAAGTTCTATATTTATCTTATGTCTTATTTGGTAGAACCATATAATCCCTCAAAATTTAAGGTAAATGCCTCTGAATATTGATGTACAAGATTATAGTTGTAATAATATATATTATATAAATACAACTACAATTAATAAATATTATTGTAAGCTATAGTCATATACATTGTTGGTATTGTTATTGCAATGCATATTCTTATTGTAACACTTATTGTCTTGCTAATATAACCTTTATTAATGTTATATTTTATTAATTTTTATCATAAATATTATTACTTGTTTTCTGTTTTTGCCATACGAATAAATAAATAATTGTAAGTTCTCCAGAAGTCTGATAAAATATATTGATTTATGTTTGCAACATTTCTATTTAAAAAATAAGATTATTTTTTAGTATTGGACATTTTGTGGGAAAATATAATTTTTACCTATAGTGGCAGATGATACCACACAAAACCAATAATAAATTAGATTTAATAAATCCATTTATTTTTTATTTTTATTTCAATTCAAGAGTAAAAAATCAATATCAATGTTAATTATACACATTTGAAAATGAAGTTGAACATTTTATTATAAATTAAAAATTTAAAATACCACTGAGTAAACTAATATTCGATGACAATATATAACAATTATTTACAGTTATTTGTAATATATATATATATAATAGATTACATACAAATTATAATTACCTAAAATTAAATTAAGGTGATGTATATATATTAATTGATGAGTCTTCAGAAACTGAAACCATTTTATCACCAGTCGGATTGTATTTGACACACCACACTTTATCCGTATGTTCTTTTAATGTATTTAAGCAACTACGATTGGCTAAATCCCAAACTTTAACAGTGTTATCTGCACTGCCAGAAACAAAACTTTTACAGTCTGGGGAAAAATCAACACTTAAAACCCATGAACCATGACCAGATACAGTGCCTAACACTTCAGCATGGTGAACTGCATAAATTTTCATTTGACCATCATCTGCTCCAGTCAGTAAGTATTTTGAATCAGATGAAAAGCATAAAGATCGAATTGGCATAGCATGCCCTTCAAGAGTATGAGTGAGTTTTCCAGATAATACATCAAATACATTAATGATGCCATCTAAAGCACCACTAGCTATATACTTGCCATCAGGACTATAAGCTATGCTTAACGTGAATTTTCCTGATTAAAAAAAAAGTCATTTATAGAGTTATTAAGTCACGATGTTATTAAAGTATAAATTACCTCTAGTATCAAATGTTTGTTCTTGTTTCCCAGTTCCAACACCAAATAAGTTGATTTTACCAGAATGACTACCAGATATGATGTAATTGTCATCTGGTGAAAATGCAATTGTCCATAGTTCAACTGGACCAATTGAAAACGATTTAATTTTTTCTCCCGTTTTTGTTCTCCAAAGCATTAAAGACGCATCTAGTGCACTAGATGCAATTATTGAAGAATCTGAATTTAAGGCTACAGATATAATTCCCAACGTTGGTTCACTAAGACTTTTGTCAAGGTTCAGATTCGTTGCTTTATCATAATTCCAAACTTTTACAGTCTCATCGATAGAACCAGTTACAATACAATCAGTTGACATTTCTTGTAATTCATCATCAGATTCGTCACCTTTATCTAAATCATCTCGATCGATTGGTTTTGTATAGCTTACTATACCCCAATCGCATGACCAAATGCTATCTTCATGAGCATTTTTGTGTTTGTACGCTAAAGTATGCATTTTAACGAATTATTAACTCACAAAGCATCCAGTAACAAATTTTTGTTCTTGAGGAAAAATAAGCACCCGAATTCACTTTAAATATATTTGTTTTGTAAACAGGAACTCAAACAGAAATATTGTATTTATTAATATAACCTAAAATAAATAACAGTGTGGCCAGTTGTAGTTTAGCAATATAATTTTGTTTTGTAGTTGATTATGATAATTCGTAGTGAGACGGCGAATTAGCTATGCAATTTAGCTACATAAATGCTGCGGTGGATCTAAAAAAATAAAAAAAAACATTTATGTTTAAATAATTTAAACATTATAAATGTTTTTTTTTGATAATTATTATCTATTATCAGTCTATTTAAAATATGTATATATTTTCTTGAATATCATTCGCTAAGTTTTTTTTTTTAATTCAATCTTTCTCTTATACACAATTTATTTGAATAGATTTGAATTTACATTTTTCAGTGGTAATTGCATCTCCATATAGGCGCGTATTCAAGAAGGGGGAAATGGCAAAAGAAACACGTGTTCCCCAAATCCCCCATAATTGGTTTATTTCATACATGGCAAAAACATTATTCAATTATTTTTTTAATGATAATTTAAGAATCCTAAGTTTTTCGTTTACCAATAGAATAATATGAACAATTTACATCTTACAGGATCGGTTATAACTTCTAGTACAAGCCACCCACCAATAATTGAGTTGTATATCTTTTATCAATCGACAATATTATACAGTGCTTTATAATATATAGGTAAAATATTGAAACATTATCTTCGTTACTACAGAAAATTATTTACCGTCAAATAAATTAGATCAAAATTATTATGCATAATTTCCCAAAATTTCAGTTACTTTACCAATTTCTATCGTAACAGCAGAAAGAAGATTTCCCTCTTTAAGGCTACTTATAACATAGTTAAGAGTAGCAAGAGTGATAGAAGAAAGATTGACAGGGTTAAATTGTATGCAATATCTGTGTTTGCGCCACTAGCGCAAACATATAATTAAAATACATAGATAATATTATGCGCACAGTACCTGCCGCCGTTCCGTAATCAATCTCACGGTCATCGGCCTATTTCGGTTCATCACCGATACTCGACACACGCACACACATCATCATATCATTGTTTAGACTTTTAATTATTATCGGTTATCGTTTGCCGTCTATATGTGTGTGAGTTATGTAATTGTAAAGGCCCGGTGCGCTTATTATTTTTGTCGCTCTCTTGTCGTACGAACTGTCGTTGTGTTCACATCGACCGCATTTTAATTATATTTTTTTTTTTTTAGCCACCATAGGCACATTTTTTATGTTTTTATTATTGTCGTCATGGGCCAAATTATTATTATAACATTTTATTATTTATTTTATTATTATTAATACAATTGTGTTGCGCCATCATAAGCAAAATTATCATTTTATAATTATTTTACTTTTATAGTTTTACGTGCGCTAATCACCGTCAATTTTGTGAAAATTGTTTTATAAACGCAAATCGCCGTGAGGGCTCATATTTATTATTTATTTTTATATTATTACAGTATTTAGGTAGTTGCAGATGGCCAGTCTGCGTCCCACCAAAATGTGAGTTTTATGTATTTATTTTATTGTTATATTTTGAATTGCTGACCACATAGGCACACACTTTATATTATTTTTATACATATTATTGAGCCAAAGAGGCTATTTATTATTACTGTTATTTATTTATATCTGTTGTTGTGATTTATTTATTTATTTGTCTTTTTTATTATTATTGTTTTACAACGAATAAACAGCAACAAAGTTACCATATACCTTATCATAATTTATAGTTACCCCCTGTTTTCCTTAGTTTTAAGCAACACATTAACATGAAAATACGTACATACACACACCACCTCACCACGTAGCTCGTCAGATTTGTACGGCGAACCCAATCATTCTGATGAAGATACACACAAATATACACACATACACACTATAGTCAGTTGGTGGTGAAATTACATTTAGTGTACGCATTATATAACGGGTGACCGGTGTGCGCGTAATTTGTTTTACGCTATCGGCCCCAACAATCTGTAAAGATGTATATACTGACACTGAATAAAACATAAAATATATAGTTCACAGATTATTTAATGAAAACAACGAAAACTTGACTTTGTATTAAAAAAACTACAGGTACTATTAATTTGTAATATCATAATATTATGTTATTTTATTATATTTTTTAATTTTTTTCTTAAAGCTATAACTTATCATACATATATCCTATTTCTATATATATATATATATATATATATATAGGTTTGGCGTTCGTCCCGATGTTCCAGTCGATCGTTCAGTTTTTCCCGGTTAAAAGAAGCTGAGAGAAAATAACACTTGATATTATAATTTTTAATAATAATACGTAAAACAATATTGTATATTTTATTATATTATGATTATCTAATCGCCATGGTTAAATATAATAATAATGTATTTTTATATTAGCTAATAAATATTTAAATTACAAAATTATGTACTTATTTTTGTTTCTATATGAACGTTATATCAAAAAAAAAAAAAAAATAAATAAAAATAAAATAATGGTTATTCAATATGATGTCTTGGTTTAAGGATTTCAATATCTGTCAACCTTATATATATAGGTTATATATATACATATATATTCGTATTTTTAATATTTTATCGAATACACTTAAATAAATATAAAAAATCTACTTTGCAAAATAAATAAAATATTTCGTATTTTTCTATTTTTCTTCGAAAATTACAGACTTACGAAAATGTTTTTAAATAAATATTTTATAAGCAACATTAAAATACATAGTTAACCTTCTATACATTTTTTGGCTAAGTACTATTGTTTTTGAGTTAAATCTACAAAACTACCTTCTATGACAAATTTTCAACCCTTTTGAGGCACGGGAAGGGGATGAGTTATCATGACCAAATTTAGTCTCAATTACTTACTGATTATAATAAACAAAATGGCGGGTACCTGGCCAAAGAATATTTAAAAAAAAAATTCTTCTTCTATAACTAAGGACTATATATATATGTTAAATGTATGCTCTGCTATGTATCCTCCATGAATATTTTTGGGCCCACCCCTGTATCCATCAAGAATCTATAAACCCCTTTTACAGAATATTTTTTCGTACGGCATGACCCATAATAGCTGAAAAACCAGTAGGTGCTTTAAATTACAACGATTGACTTTGGATTAAGTGTTATTTGATATTGTGATAATTTGAAAAAAAGTATAAATGTTCAATCAGGAGTGATGTATACTATCCCTGCCTATTTAAAATTACTTGTACATTATTTTTTCAAAAAGCAATTATCTTAAGTTAATATGATAGGTAGGCTTATCATAGTACTGAGTTGAACAATGTTCTATTTAGAAATTTAATTTAATGTTCATCAATGGAAAATTGATGATTTTTTTCTTTTCATAAACCAGACGGAATGAAAGAAAGTACAATAATGAAGTACTTCACAGATAAGGGTATAATAATCAGTGATTAGATTTCTAAAAAATAGGAATATTTCTTATAATACGGTCAGGGTTCACTTAAAAAATAAAAGTAAATACATACCTTTTACATTAATGTCGTTCAAATACTCGTAATTATAAAAAAGAGACATTTGAAGCTGGAAATTTTGTTTTTCGACATCATATTTGTATTAAATTGTCAATCGATGGGATGGCCGTAAGTCGATATATGAAAGTACCGTATCTCTTTATTTTACTTAAAATAGTTTAGTGACATTTTTATATTAACATATTAATTACCAAAAATTGAATAGTATTTTGTTATAATTTAAATAAAAAAATTAGTGTAGTACAATAAATTATCTGTAACGCATAATCGATAAAGGATGAAGTTAAAAAAAAAAAGATGATATTCATAAATAAATAATAACTATTTATTTAATCACGTTGTAGAAAAGAGGTACTTTTCATTAAATATTTTATATTTTTATTAATTTATACTTTACAGTACACAATTATTGATATTAGTTGATTCCAAACTTTCTATTATCATACATCACATCAAACAACATATACTCCTACATAAGTTATAATATAATTTAATGTTAGTAATACCAATACTGAAAATGAAATGAAATGAAATAAGTTAAATGTAATATAAGTAATATAGTTATATTTACTTTTGAAACTCTTTATTTCCTACAGTCAATTTTGGCAGATAAAATGTATGTTTTCCTAATAGGTTGATCAAACAATTGTAAAATCATTATTTTCCTTGTTTCACTCAAAATCTCAGAAATTTATTAATTTTAAAATTTGATAAATTGTTATAAATTACGAATTACCAACAGTTACACTATTAGTTAATATTCGTAAAATCATACATGTTCTTTGATTTACCGATGTTCGACATAGATTCAGTGAAAATAATTGTTAATTATTATCGGAATTTTTGTTTTTAATTTAAATTTCAAAAGAAAATATTAGTATGTAATTAAAGTTAGATCTAAATGTTTGTCTGACTTACATTATATTAAATAAGTTGTTGTACAATTTTTTATAAATATACCTTTCTATAGGTTATTGATATACTATATTATTATAGTTTTTTGTTTTTATAATGATCCTGTTGTGAAAGGTTTTTCCTTTTAACTGTTTTACTGTGTAACTTGTTATGGATTTAGATACCATCATTTTTACTTAATTTCTTATACTTACGTATAATAATCGAATGAAATTTCTGATATTAAATCAGCATTATAATTTTAGTTGTTACAAAAATAAACCTTGTAAATAAATCATTTTTTATGAATTTTGTATACTTTTAATTTAAAATAAAATTAAAAATATATCTAAAATCATTATATATATAGTATATTGTTATTAAATTGATTTAGTGTTATAAAATAATGTTGGTTACAATTTTTCAACTTACAGAAACGTTTTATTAAAAATAAGCTGGTAATATAATAGTGGTGGAAGTTCGTCTTTTGTCCTTTCGGTTCTTGGAGTTAATGATTGCAATACGTGTATTGATTTTCAAAGAAATTATAACTGATTTCTTGAGTAAAACAATTGTGAACAAAGCTTTAGTATAAAAATAGGTAGAACTTTTATATGTTACAATTTTTAGTCTAATTGTGAGCAGGTTCTTTTTTCAGTATTGTTAGGTAAGTATATAAGGAAGGTGATATTAAATCTTCAAATCTTAATATCCAAAAATAAAAATTTTATTTCATTAAAAATTTTAAAAAAATTAGGTATTTCAATAGTTCTAAATTTAAATCAAAAGCCCTAAACTTTTTTTGAAAAAATTTTTAAATATAATAAAAAATTTCTTTGATATAGGATAAACTTTTTAAGTTCTTAGCCATATTATTTTTGGAGTTATGACTAAATAACTAAAATACGAAAAGCGAAAAACTCGTTTACAGCAAATTTTTACCGTTTTAATTTGGATTTTCGACAGTTTTTTCTCACGCCTGTTGAAACTATTGAGAATTTGGTAAAATTATTTGTCTTAAGTACTACCGCAGGTTTATTTTGAATCTAAAATTTTGTTAGATTAGAAACTTATAGTCTAGTATTTCTACCAGAAAAAGTGTTTACAGAAAAAATAAACACCAATGTGAAATCATAAGATTTCGTTTTACCCAGAATGTAAAGTATTTAATTACATTTTACACATTTATAAAATCAAAACATTGCAAAAACCAATATATACCTAACCTAACCTATTACTTATATATTTATGTGATGTACACTTATTATTTGTTTTGTTTTATTTTATACAAATAGAAATGTATTTTAACATAGAAAATCTAAGATGTATTTTATATAATGACAAAAAAATTATAATGGTATAATTTATTTGAGCACTGAGTGTCTCGTATTACATTTTTTTTTTTTCAAATTTGAATCGAAACGACCATCTGGGGCCATATTGATGTTTTTTTCGGTTTGGAGGGGTAGAGTGCACTAAGAGTCACTTGTACCCCCTTTTCTGAGAAGAGAGTTTATACGTGTATGGACTTCACTCCCAGTGGAGTGGGTCCAGTGGGAGACGGAGTAGGCAACCGAATGACAGCAGGGGAGGGAGACTACAGAAATACTCTGCAGATATTTTTTGCACTGAGCCGGGTTCAAACTGGTGACTGCGCGCGTTGTGGTTACATTGTGTAATTACTGCACCACTCTGCCCCCATTCGTATGACATAACTTAAAATCTTTAATTGTATTAAATACTTATACATTTTAATTAATATCTTAGTATTTTTGATATTTGGCTGATTTATGCATTATTCTTATCGAAATTGGAAACGTTAGATTTCTGCATCGAAATCCGACGTTAAGTTAATGAGCGAGTGTAAACAGCAATGAAAAGAAGATAAAAATACAACATAGAAGTAATGCATCGGATTATATTCTTTGAATTAAATAATACAACACAATTTTATAAGAATCTATATATTATTATTATCAGAGTAAAATAGTAAATAATTTAAAATTACTTTTGTCTGAAACAAAAAATGTATTGTATTGTATTATATGTAAAAATCTATAAATATTTATTACAATTTTAAATATGTATAATATCTAATACATTATTAAAAATAGCTTCGTACAGTTTATCTTTTTAGTATAATCATACAATTCATAACAAGTTAAACTTATATTTTTCATTAATTGAGTTGTGGATTATGTAGGTTGACTTTAATACTTATTATAAGCTCTATGTATTTTATACTCAATAAATGTTTTATTGATCAAAATTCAGTTATTTTTTTATTTCAAAGTAAACTAGAGGTTTTTTTTTTGTTTTATCTGTTATTGGTGGAATAATGTTTTTAAATTTAAATATTTTTTGAATGGTATTTTTATAATCATATTAGATATTTAAATATATTTTACTGACAAAAATATAACTTTGTATAAACCATATGATAAAATCATAATATAGATATTTCAAGTATCAGATAATTAATAATAATTTTTATTAAATACAAAACTTGTTTTTAAACTAATACGCTCAATTATTATTATTTACCACAATATTAAATTGACATTTAAACATGACGAGTTGTATAGCATTTCGAGTTCTATTTTTACTTCTATTCATGCTAATATTTATAAACGATGAGTTCCCACCTAATGGGTTTTCATAATGTATTATAATTTTAAAACTTATAATATAATATATAATTCATGATAGTTTCAACTATTCGAGGGCTATTTATGTGACTATTTAAAAAATAATAATACATTATATATTTGTGCTATTGAAGTATATGTGTGTGTAGAAAGTGGAAATAATATACAACCGAAATAGTCGAATTTTCGTTTAAAAGTTCTAGGTATTATTTTCAATATTTTTGTTCGAAACTATTTTCATGTATGCATTGCAATCATTTTCTTTTTTTTTGCATAAGAATATTTCATTGAATCATCCATAAGTACCTGTTTGCACACCGAGTAAACTATATACTTTTATCTTGTATTTACTTAATAATTTAGAAAAAAAAAAATTTTGAACAAATGCGGACAGAAGTCTTTCGGTACGATGGAACACAAAATTGTATATTTATATACACGTACGCAAATATATTTTTGTTCTTATGTATATATTTATTATATTTATAAATTCATACACACATGCGTAGTACATGTGAAATTATGAGGGCGAAAAAGTACTCGCACACACATACATCAGAGCGTGTAAACACACAAATTCGTTATTATCGAGTTTGTCGTCGGCGCCGAAGTGTGACGTCAGGTCGTATTGTTGTGTTTTCATGTGGGTGGATGGGCGGGTCGTAGATTGCCACCTGTTCAAGAGAACCGTATAGTTGCAGCTCGAACGCTCAGCCGAGAATTCGCCACTTGTTGGATTTTCCTGTGGCTCGTGCAATCGTAACACCGCAAGTAAGTCGTTTTAAATTTTATTCTATTAAACTGTGTATTCTCATCTATTAAATGTTTTCGTTTTTATTATATTAATGATCCAAATTTATAATTTATATTTTATAATAAATAAATAATCTAAATTTGTGTATTATTTAATAAATTATACACACATATAATACATTAGAAGTTTTTTTAGTTTTTTAATTTAAATTGTACACAAATCAATTATTTGGAATTATGATAATTATTCTAAAAACATTTGAGATACTAAATATCGAAGACAATGGTTAAAAATTTAGACTACCTAATTATTCAATAAACGAATAATATTAAATTGTGTTGTAGTATAAATATATTCATAAATGAATATGTTTTTCGTTAAATTTAATTATAATACTGATTTTCAGTACTCATATAATTTTATTTGAAGCCTTTTAGTTGTTTATTGAATAACTTCTACAAATTAAACTAGTTTCTCCTAATTTGAGAATTATAAGGATTCTTTTGAAATTTAAAAAATATTAATTAATTTACTGCTCTTCAACATAATGTGTACGTATATTCTTTTAAGTATCAGAATCCAATGAGTTTGTATATCCAATGAATTATGTTTTATTCCATTGCCTTCATTTTTAGTTTCTACAAATATTAAGTGTAATTTATGTAAACTCAATTAAACAGTGCATAAATATAACATTAATACACCCGTAGTATAATATAAATTAAGTTGAACAATTTAATGATTCGTTAAAATAAGTAAATAATGTAAATTGTATAATATCAAACGTGCCATTAATATAAAAAGTCACGTAAAATGCATTTAAATTAACAATTGAATAATATGAATTTGCATTATATTATATCATCGTATAACTAAAAAATAAAATTATAAAATTGAGATAATTTGTGTAAAATATCAAATTTATAATATTATGTATTTTTAGTTTATGAAAAATGTACATAGGGGTTAGTGTGAGTACTTTTATTATTTAACAAAGAAGAGCAAATGGAATTGTTATTGTTTTAGTAATAAAAGTCGAATATAAACTTAATGGAATGGCTTTGAGTATCCGATTTTGGCTTTTGAAAATAATTGAGAGCTCTTATTTCGTTTCATTTAAAAGTGTTAATAATGTTTCTTTTACGTTAGACTTTTAGAATCAGTCTTTTGACAATAAACATTTTTTAAACAGATTTTATTTCACATCACTCTGCATCTAATTCAATATTTTACTTGGACATAATCTAAATAACATCGTAAAAATTAAATTAGGATGATTTGATCTTAGAAATTATATAATTAAATTGAATTGACTATTCGAATTCAGATTGTCATATACACTATGATCTAAAAAATACGGTGAATAATTACTCAAAGAGAGTAGTATTCTACAACATTAGCGTGTTGTATTACATGCGAATAAAGAAACCATTTCTAGTCATTGAGTAAATTAAAGCTACGTTAATCCACTGTCATAAAGTACATCAGCGCTTTAAATTCCATATTATTTAAACGAGAGAAAAATATATTAAAATGTGATGTTTAATATATTATAATGCATTTGATTTCCGTACAACTAATATTATCTTTATAGGTGATATATTAAAGAAATAAAAAATATATAAATTTGTATATATTTTATAGGATATAATGTTTTATGAAATGAAAGTTTAATTCAAAAATTATAAAAATCTTATAATAATTCGTATGTGCATGTCCAGAGAACCGAATGATGTGACTTTAATTAATTTGTTTTATAGAAACGTTATTGCATATTATTAAATTTAATAGTTTACGTGCAAACTTTCTGCATTTATTAATTATTATCGTTACAAATTTTTGGTGTCTTATCCCATGTCCCCCGAGGCAAGAGATATACTTCTTTACGTGAGAGGAATTGTGAAAATACGTAATTTTTTTATCAAATAATTTATGTCCGGATAACTATGCTGCTGCCAGAACACGAGAATTAATTACATTTTGGTGAGCTTTTAATAATCACTGCTAAATCCAAAATCCTACAGTGTACAACCGAAATGCTCGCCTGTATTTTTTTAAATCAAGTTATTTTGGACTTAATTAAATACCTGCCTCATTGTGGTTGTTTTTAATCTCAACATTTAAATTATTCTCACCCTCGCTCCCCTTTCCAAAGAAGTATATAATTTTTATCAAAACATGTCCAATGCATTAAATTATGTAATGTGTATATGTATATTTTAATAAATTTTTGTATTGTTGAAGTTTATCCCTTTTAAAAAGTTCTTCTAAACGATATTATCATTAGAGCGTTTAGCATTTCATGCGTTAGAAAACGTTTGGACAATAGTATATACAATTTTTTTTCACCAACATTTTCTATTGGAAGGGTAATTCTTGTTTTCATTATGTGTTATTTATATTACATCGTTTTATGGATTTTATTTAAAAAAGAAACAAGACTAGAAAAGTATCGCTGCTATAATGAATAATTTCCCATTAAGTTCCTATTGTAATATAACTAAAATCATTTTCAGTTATTAAATTTCTATAAGAATTGTTTTATATTATTTATGTTAGTTTATTCAGTTAGAATCAAAAGCTCTTCTCAAAACTATTAATTTAATATTTGCTTGATTAACTGATTTAAATATAGTAACTGGTCAAAATAATAGAATATATCATAATTTATAAACGAAGTATTAAAGATAAGTAGTTAAATATAAAGGCAAAAAAAACTGTAGTTTATAACTAGGACTTCGATTTTAAAGCATATGCTCCTTTTTTAGATATAAGATATTAATTTAATTTTTATACATAAATTCGTTATAAATTATAAATAAACTAATTTTTTTGTTGCTTGTTTTTGTTTCTTTTTTTTTTTTTTTTTATGTGAATGCTTTTTCCGATTATTCCAGCTATGAATTTTCGATATGTATATTTTGCTATAATTTAAAAAAATGTATTTAATTAATAAGAGATTAAAAATACGCTTTTTAATTATGTATGATTGTAGATACAGTTCTAACTCTATGTCAAATATGGAATACGGACAACGGTTACTGGGTTATTTTTGTTAAGGGGAGGGTAGGAATACCATAAGCCCTTAATTTAAAATGGATTTTATTTTTATGTTCATCTGATATTTAGTAATAATCAAGGCTCATAACATCTAGAATTTGCATCTATATTCTTAAAGGTCTTAGAGTACCTATATATTTGAGCTAAAAAATTTGTTTCAAATAACTTAGAAGGCAACTATGAAATTTTAAATTACATGTTTTTGTATATTTCAAAGTTTGAGTATTATTTTTTTTTTTTTGTGTTCCTTGAATTAACAAGAAGGACTCATCTTGAATATCATGAAACTACCGATATCGAAGGTAGATTTGTTGCTAATATAATTGTATACTAGAAGCAGTTTATCCGAGTAAACAATATTTGATATATTTTTAATACATGTATGCAAGGCTGGACAAAATAATGATTTTTTTTTTAACTCAGTTAAGTTATTTGAGTTCTTGTTCAATTAAGTTAACAATTAAGTTAATGCATATGAGAATAACATCAATTAAACTAAAAACTAAGTTAAAAAATATCGTTAACTTAACTTACATTTAAAAAATAAATATTTAAATTAAGCGCTGATATAAGTGATATATATATATTAACTAATCTTATTTAATATTAACGATAATGAAAATGTAGAAACACCTTATTAGACTCCAATTAGAGTAAAAAAGTATACATTTCCTCATTGGGATTGTTTTTAATCACTCAAATATCAAATTTATGATTATTTATGTATCGTTTGTTTTTTATTCATTCTTCATACAAATCACATATGATAAATATAATTTAAAATATGTATTCTTTTTAAAGTTTAATAGCAGTATAAAAATAATTACTGCAACTGAAAGTGTAACTATAAAATTATACAGGCAATAAATGTATAAAGTTGATACAAAACATTAAAATAAATATATAATATTATTTAACTTTATTAAAATTTAAAAAAATAGAATAATACAATTGACAAGTTAATCAAAATACCTATTGAATCTCAATAATAGAGTCATTAATTGGGATAAATGAAAAAATAATACGTTAACTTCAAGTTAATTTGAAGAGAAATGAGTTAAGTTAATAAATTAAATTCATATATTGGTAATTAAATAAGTTAATAAGTTAAATTAATTTAACTTTTAGCTTAAATTTTAACTTATTAATTCGTTAATGCCCAAGCTTGCATAAATGTATCTTTATAAGAGTATATTATTGCGATTTTAACAACTCTTTTTAGAGCTACAACTTATGAGTCCTTCTAATAATCAAATCAAGGAATATAATTAACAATTATTTTTTGACTTGTTATTATTTCATTACGTTACATATAATATGTTGTAATTTATTGTATGTTGTTTTTATATAAGAAAGAGCGTGTAAGGCTAAATCTTTATGGCTTACTTTTTAATAATTTTTCACATCCTCCCCCTCATTAAAAAATACTGAGAACGATTCTGCGTTCTGTTAATCGTATTGTTATTGCCGATAGTTATTATTCGATGGTTCGTCTTTAACATCAACCATTTCAACTATGTAAAATATTTGGTTAAAATAAATCGTATTCTTTCAAAAAACTAGGGCTGAAAACGATTACAAGACATTAAAAACATATTGTGTGTTGTTTCGTTAAATATTGATTATCATAATTTTCTTTAACTAAAAATTAGTAATGTTAAGTGTTTTTTTTCGATGTATAAAAATTTTTTGTATGATAATAGAGACAGTTTCTAAATTGCCAATTTAACTATATACATGGTAGTTAATTCATTTTTTAATTTAAAATAATTTTTCAATTTTTTTATTAATTTTACACCTAATTTAGGTTAATTTTTATTTATACTTTTGCGTTTTATAAAAATAAATATTCTTTTTTTGTTATTTATTGTGATTTAAAATCTGAGTCCTAAATATAACCAATAGTTATATGACATTACCTTTTTAACAAAATATAGGTAAAGTTATTTACTATCAA